GTACTCCCAGGAAATCATTCGTCGATTCTCGATCATGTATGGGTCTGTCATGATCAACCCCCATGATGATATTCTTCGTGTTCTTCATCTTTCTTGGATGGACGGGAGACGGACTTGGTCAACGTTTCCGTGAGCTTGCCGAACTGGGTCAAGAGATCATCCGCGCGAAGCGGAGGAGTGCCTTCAGGACGACGGTCGGAGTCATGATGGTCAGAGTCATAGCGGCCCGATTCACGACGGGCAGTGTCACGACGGTCGGCTTCAATTGCTGCAACCTCAAGTGCGTAATCACGACGTTCTTCTTCGGCCGTTTGAATGCGCTGGCCAATAGAGCACCAAGCCATGTCGTGTTGGTCCCTGGCAGACGACGTAACTAAAGCAAATTCTGGGGCCGACGGGGAGATCAACTGGAGAGGGGCATTGACGTGGTCAGCAATGGTGTGATTAAGAGCGAAGGGCTCCCAATCGAGTTCAGCTAACATGAACATCTTGCCTCCTTGGGTGACGGACCAACCATCATTCTTGAGGATCGAGTAACGGGCACCTTGGAGCCAAACCTGGAGGAGGTCTTCACGTGTGAACTCGTCAACCAATTGGGTGGGGTCACTTAAATCGGTGGTCTTGGGGAAGGGAAAGCCTTTGGGCCAGGGGTACATGCAAGGGAGGCAACAGAAACCTGGTTCAGAACCCGCCACAATCAGTGGCTCGAGAGTAATACGAGCCGTAGATGGGGATTCAGCATCTTCGTGGGTACCACCGGCCGGAGCAGGACCAGAGATATCATCGGGATGTTGTTCAGACGTTGTCAACTTGAACTTCTCAATGACGGAACCAGGAGCCAGGGCCGTGAAGTGGGAACGAGCCCAGCGAAAGGGAATCTTGGCAGGGACGACCTCACCAATCTTGTCAGAGAGATTACCAATGAGCCAGGTGTGACCAGCCGGGTCGACAAAGGGCTGCGGGTTGGCAAACAAGACCGGCTTGTTGTCAACAATGATCATAAACTGATCATAGTGGCGGGTATCCGCCAAGAGAGCATCACGAACGGGCTGGGTTGTTCCCCGGTTAAAGATCATCGGCGTCAAGTGGTCAGAAGTGGGGGGTCCCGAATGAGACGAAGAAAGACATTGGTCAGTGGCATTCTTTCCCCTGGCAACAAGGGCACGAACAGCTTTGGCGTGGGCAAACATGGTCAAAGTAGGGTAGGAAAACAACGGTAGGGCTGGTGGGCAACGAACGGGGCAAGTGAAGCTGGAAAGCAACAGGGAAAAAGCAGGTCCAATTAGTATATCTGAGTAGACTGGGTCTAGATACTAATTGTGAGCTAAGTGAAGTTCGAACAAATTCAACCAGCACACAACTAGATTGGCCGCCCAGCCTAGGATTGGCTACGAGTGAGGGTACAAACTGCAGTCCAATCAAGTCAGTGCAAAACATACGTGGTCCCTGGCGGGTGGACGATGTCACACTCTCCAAAGGGGCTGCAGAGTGATAAAACAGGGGTAGATCAACTGTATCCTGAGTTGAGGAGGGGGTGGGGGTTGCAGATGGAAGAGTTTTGGTAGGAAAGGGAGACGTAAGGGGCCCAAACGGGGCGGGGATGCATACGGCTGTAGGATAGGTACTAAGTGTTCGTCAAGTCAAATGCGGAGAGGAAGAAACGGGAAATGGGGGGATCACAGCACCAAAATTGGGAAGGCTAAGGGGTAGAGGATACCGTTCAAGAGAACAATCTACAAACGTCAAGGTGACGGGGAAGAGAGAGGGGGAAGCTGGGGCTCGGGAAAGATATGGAGAATCACAAGCTGGCATTAGGATTGGCTAGAGCCAGATTGGGTGTCAGATCAAGTAGAAAACAAGGGTACAGGTAGGAAACAAGAGGGGAGGCCAGTGGGCCACAGCACCAATGTAGGTTGTATACTAGACTAATGGTAGGGAGATTTCGGGAAACGAGAAAAAAACCCGGGGAACAACTAAAGCTGATCTTGGAAGATAGAGCGAACAAGTCCTAGCCAATAAGCAGTCAAAACCGGCGCAGAAAGCGATGTAAAATGAGGTCAGACTATACTGAAGAAATTTGGACCAAAGGTCCTAATGCGGTTCCGAAAGACTTAAGGACAGCAGGTGTTACAATTTGCGGCAAAAATTATACTGGGTCCCAAACGGGATAGGCCAAAAGCTGTGCCAATCTGTGAATTTTTAATGGACACGATCCAAGTGACAATGGTGGTCAAGACGACCGGGAAAGGAGACGACGGAACGGGTCCTAAGGTAATATTTTGCGAGGGCAAAGGGTACCTAGGGCTAAATATAGCACCAAGTGTAAGGAGTAATGGTCAATGAGGGGGCGGACCAGGTCCCAATAAGGATGGTCAATAGGAGGGCAGTCATGGTCAAAGACCAATGACGCGATACAAAAAAAAGGTATCCATTAAATGGAGGGACCATAAAGGGGAATAATAGGGCCAACAAGGCCGGTGGTCGCATTAGGCGAAACCACTATAGGTAGTAATCAAATGATTAAAGAAAGGAAAAAAAAGGAAAACCGAGTAAAAGTCGGATCCAAAGAACGAGTCTACCAATAACAAAGTATGGATAATAGACAAAGGGAAAAACCCAGGAACTCGGGCAAAGGGGGTGCCCGAGACAAAGAAAAAGCGAAGCACACCATTGCGGTGTGGTAGTTGGTTAGGAACCAACAGTAGATGGTGTTGGCCATAAGGCAACACCATGGCCATTTACAGATCCATCAACAACCAAAGTGTGGTCTTTGGTTGCCTGGGTCTACCATCTGCCAGCTATGAGTTGAGCGGGTGATGTCAGATTCCAGACTGACCAGGCAACTGGGACTCATCCCCTTTGCTGGTTTGCCTGGAGTCTCACCTTCAATTTGCACTGGACAAATTTCGATTTTGCTGGACGTTCCTGGACATGTGACTCGTCACTCAATGGGTCATGGATATACACGCCCGTCAGTCACCAGGCAGGCTCTCTGGTACCGTACACACATCAACCCAGTTCCCCCACATCCTTTGGCACTACTAGCTAGTACGGTAGTGGGGAAGCTTTGTGTGTCTTCACAGTAAAGTCTACTAGTTTTAGGTCGGTTATGAGCCGGCCAAAATTTACATCTTTTTCTGAACCTCAGAAAACGAGTCGCCCATGAGCATGCCGACGGCATTCTGGAGGGAAATTTTAATAGTAACAACAAGATCGCAAGTTAGAGATAGGTAGTCTTAATGCTATAGATGACTGTACAACAGAAACATAGACGTTCGTACCTTTAGATAGAGTCGAAATCTGCCATTCTGTTAACTTGTGGGAATTCTCGAATTCAACAAGCAACAACAACAACAGCTGTAAAGTTGCCGGTAGCATCATTTTGGTGGCCCTTAGGTGGCTCAACACCCCCGCATTCGCTTCTATACCATGTCCGAAGACAATGTGGATATTGAAGACCTTGTCCAACAGGCTTCTGGAATCGTCGCTATAGCCAAAGGCAAGTTGAGGATCCGTGATGCAATGAGAATTGTTGGGTTCAGCACTCCTGATCGCAAGAACATGAGATACTATCAACAAGTGAGAAGGAAATCAATCAAGCTTGGCTCTGTTCCTGCTGAGGTTGTCGCCACTGTCAAGGGCTCCTCAGTAGACAGTCATACCACTCTGACTGAGAGCACTCCAGCATCTCGTGATTCTAGAAAAAGCAACAGCAACTCTACCATATCCACCCACTTGTCGCCTCCAGACTCTGTTGATAGCCCAACAATTGTAGTGGGAGATGCCATGGATGCAGCCATGGATTCTGTAATTGCAAAGGAAGACCTGTCAAAGCCAAAGAAGAAAGATAGGCGCAGCAGCAAACAAGTGCAGAAATCATTAGCACAGAGGGCGCAGCTTACCAAAAGAGACAAAGATGCCATGAAAGTAATCACCACTCAGATAGCAAAGCAAAAGAAGAAAGCACCAAAGAATAGGAAAAGCATCAGATCCATTGTAGAGGAGAACAATGAGCGCTTCAATTCGAATGTTGATCCAAAGACAGCAGCAAGATATGTACGGAATGGATTGATAGGAACATCTCCTCTGAAGCGAGGACCGGTCAGTGAGATTCCCAAAAGACTGTGGAGGGGCTTATGCGGTGCAGTGATTACTTACCTCAAACTTGAACAAGCCGGAGGCTCAAAGCAATCCAGTATTGCTGCTCTTTCCCGTAAAGTGAATGCTTGCGTCAATAAGGGAGGCTTCTACAAGACAAGAACAGATCTGACAATGAAGATCAAGAAAGAACATGCAGATCAGTTCCCTTCTGCTGGAAAGGCCAACATCCAAGAGCAAAGACGAGCACAATGGACAACTCACTACTTTCTTGACAGTTGGTTCGACACATGGAAGACCAGTATCGTGGAGCTTGGATTCGGCCGTGAGAGGAAACCAGAAGATCCCCAATTCAATGAGAAGGGCCAATTCCTTGGTGAGATCTTGTTCTATGAAGGTCAACTTGATTGAATCATCAACTTTGATGAAACCGATGGCTCTCTTGATGACACTACTGGATATAGAGGGGGCAGACCAGCTATGACATTCTATGCCCCAGACATCACTGGTGGAGGAACAAGAGTGAACAAGAGCGGTTATTCATGCACCATCATCTGTGGAAGCAATGCTGCTGGTGATCCCTTACCGCCACACTTTCAGCTCAAGACATTAGCCACTTCGGCAGAAAGGGAAAGGATCAACGTCGACTGGTTCCAGCATACCAAAGACACCATCGGTACTTGGGGATTCAATGACAAGACGAAACGTCCATGCAGGTTTGGAATGAATGAGCGGGCTGGTATGAATGCAGTAGAACTGGACAAATATATGAAGAACGCCTTACTCACCTTGTACCCAGATATAGAAGACAAGCCAGGGAAGCGCGTTCTTGTGAAGGTGGATAGTGGTCCTGGACGTAGCAACGTTGACATGCTAGCCGATCTGAGGTTGCACGGCCTTTATCTCATTCCAGGTGCACAGGAGTACCAAATACAACCGGTGCTACTCAAGAGACTGACCAAAACTATGGCCCCTTCAAGACAGTTTACAAAGACAATCTTAGACAGTTGTCACAAGCAAGATTTGATATCAACAAGAACCTTCAAGTGAGCGACTTGCCTTTGTTGGTCTTTGGCGGTCAAGATCCCGTCAGTGAGGTTGTTCTACGAGATGCCTTCTCTGAGGCTTTTTCTGTCAAAGCGAACTTGAACTGTTGGCGAAAGGTTGGAGCTGCTCCACTGACTAGGAATGCGCTGCACCATCCAAACGTCCGACATGAGATTCCTGATGATCGCGCAGCTTCGGTTCTTGCTGCCAGTGGCGCGGAAGAAGATCCAACTGGCAATATCAAGAAGCTGAAGACCCAAGAATTAATGAACACATTCTTCTGCGATTTTCTCAATTCAAATGGGATGAATGGTTCTCAATTGCGAATTGAAGCTCCGAAGAGAAGTACATTTGTTGGTGTCACTGAGGCCCATTCTCAAGCAAGAATCAACGGGATCAAGAATGCGAAAACCACAGGGCAGATGCACTATGTGACAGGTGGCCGACACATGAACACAGACGAATTCTTCAAAGCAACCAAATTGAAATAGCGGGAGGAGAAGATCAAATCACTCGAAGACTCCAAGAAGGCCAAGACCTCTGCGTATGATGCCGAGATGGCGGCAAAGGCGCTTCTTCAGGAGAGAGGAGTCTTCAATGTAGAAACCGGCAAGACCTTCACAGTTTCTCAGATCAAGATTTTGTTGAAATATCGAATTTGTCCCAAGCCAGCATCCCAGCGCAAACTTGACCTCATGATTGCTTGTTTGGCTGGAGAGGATCCTCCCGCGGCTGTCGTATGGTCTCCGGAAGAAGAAGCCGAACTGCAAGAGGCGAAGGGGGTGGATGTGGATATGAAAGACACGGCGTTGGGAGTGGCAACCTCACAAATGGCAAAGGCCGTGACAAACAATATGGCCAATTTGGATGCCGAAACAAGAGCTGCGCTCAAAGCTGCTATCCAGGCCTCTGAGTATGGTGAACCTACTACTCCTCCTGAGGTTGTGGCGGCTGCGGAAGGTCCGTAATGGCTTCGAAACAGCGGCTTTTCGGTCATCGTGGAACTGTTTTGCTCTTGTTGTTTCTCTTTTTCGATTTGTGTCGA